GAACTGACTCCTTAAATTCAGTTAATAGCCTACATGCTTAATAGGACAAATAAATAGTACTAAAAGAAAGTGGAGAGAAACTTGATAATATTCTATCAGATCTAAATGTTACTGAGAAGAATTTATAAAACTATACTTTTTTATCCCTCTAGTCATGTTAATTTTTATAAATAGAAAATTGTCTTAATAGCAGTGCAATGTGAAAGCAAACACAAGAGCGACACCAAATTTATTTCTGATTATATTCATACTTCTATTTGCTGTTTTGTCTTTTCGGGAAAAGGAGGAGAATTATGCAGTGACAAGCATTTTTAACCTGTTCAGAACCAGCAAATGAAGAGAAAACCAATTCTCCAGATCCTCACACTCAAAAAGTATATGCATTATAGAGTACTTATACATACTAATATGAGAGTGCCGAATTGAGATAACCTCCTTTTGATCTCTAACCGCCAGAGCTAGAAAACTTCGTTTCACATAAGATACAGTGAGTCGTGATGTGAGAATCGTGTTATCAGGTATATTTATATATGATCATATTCAAGTCTTAACTTATGTCTTTAAACAAAAACTCTACTGTATTCCATTTACTTTTCTTTCTGTTAACCATACATTCATCTTTAGTAAAGAATTAGGCTTAACACAATTAATAGTCTGAATTCGATAGAACTCTCGATCATTTAGAAGAGCAGTGCATGCTTATGCAAAATACTAAGCATTGTCTGAACATATGTATTGAAAAAACTGACTAAACGTAATTTAAAACAAAGTTATGAAATCTTTGTAAAATGTCACCAAATCTAATAAATTAGTATTGAAGCTTCAACAACAGCATCAAAGCAACCTTCCAAAAATATTAATGAAATTTTTTAGAATTGGAAGAAGATCACAGGTTTTGCTTTCAAATATAATTTTGGTAAACGATTGTGTTTCAAGTCTAAGAGTGCCAAAAAAAAAAAGAAGGGCTGCATGAAAATAGTGTCATTCTGGCTGATAAATTTTTATTTTACTATTTCAATGTGATTATTTATAACAAAGGATATATTTCTTTTTTGAATAATAGTTTTTGCTCTTGGCTGTTTATAATTTGCAATCTATTTATGTACATACATTTTTATTCCAAAAATAAATGTTTTATTGAAATGTAGACTGTGACTTTATTTGTTTAAATTTGTGTCAGAATAACATTAAAGGTAGTCACTATTTAAAAACCTTTTCGTTTTCTTTTATATTATTGTACTCAAGAATTTACTTTTGATGCTAAAATGTCATTTGACAGACCTTTCAGTAAAGGCTTCATACATTAGAAGGAATTGTGTGCTTGATATTTTTAAAACTTCCATAGATTTTTTTTCCCTCTAACTATTATGAGCAATAACATTATAAGTTTAGTAATTTGGAGTACGTAACTTGAAACTACTCCTTTTAAAATTTGATTTCAATAGTCTGATACAGTTCATAACAATTTGGATGGTGCTAAAAAATTTTAGTAGGCCTAAATTACCCCAAAATAAGGAGATTTATCAAAACTGTAAAAACAGACAAATATATAATGCTAAATTACTTTTCAAAAAATACTGAATGCAGAATTTTATCGGAAAAAATTAACTAAATATTGCACACCTTTTATCTCAAATAGTGGCCTTGTATTTTACAAGAAGCTGCTAAATAAAGTAAATATCAACCTTCAGTTCATTTGTGAAAATCTAATAAAAAGGATTAGAATTTTCCCTTTACGTCTTCACCCCTTTGACAGTTAAGATTCGTCGGAGGAGAGAGCCCTCTTGAGGCTTACATCAAATATGAGCAGGAAAGCAGTGACGCTTCAAATCAGTAACCAAGTCACAGCTGGCCACCCTACACAACTTTTAAAATTTTTTTGTTTTATTTGTAATTGTTATATCCGAGAGCCATGTTAGTTCAGGAAATAGAACTATCTCCTTCCAAAGAGACGACCTGTGTTCGAATCCCTAGTTAATATGAATTCCACACCTGGCTCACACCGACAACAGTGCAAACGTAAAATATCCTCAGTGGTAGACAGATCATGGGTTAGAGTCTCCTTACAGTCAGGCAAAAGTGTGTGAGATTTTTCATGGTCTTCCTCTCATGTATAATGCAAATGCGAGTTTGTTCCATCAAAAAGTCCTCCACAAAGGCAAATTTTCCCCAATACTTGATCCAGGAGTTCTCTTGTCTTCTGGAGTGGGTTTAAAATTACAAGGCTACAGAGTTGAACATTAGTAGTTGTAAACCCGAAAAGTTATAAACTAAAATATTTACACTTTAATGCAAATCAAATTTACCAACTTTTTATTTTTCTATAATGATTTTCTTAAAGTGGATTTTTTTTCATTGTAGAAGTGATAAAACTTTAGAACAAAGAATATAAGGTCTAAAAATTTAGAGTTAATCATATTTTTTTTTTCGTACTGAAGAAAAAATGTATTTTAACAAAACGAATGTTGCAAGAACAGTAATCCTAGTACTGGATCAATTCTTTTTTGTCAGAGCAAGGAAACTACAAGACTTCAATAATTTAAAATATTACATATTTAAAACGCTTCACTATATTTTAATATCAAATTTAACTTGCGATATTTACATGCATCAAAAAGTTATAAAACAATTAAACAGACCATATATTAAAATGCATTATTTTTTATTTAATAAAAATGATGTAAACAAGACTTCATGAATAGTTTCTATAAAAAGTAAAAAATTAATAATGAGTCAGTGTATTTCTGTAATGCTATTAAGAGTAGTTTGAAATACCATCTTCATCAACACCATATTCACAGAGGATACTGCGGTGTTTAAGGAGCATTTTGTCATGTTCCATTTCAATGCTGGTAACTGATAAAAATTTCGTAAATATCTTCAACTTTTCCTAATAATACCAGATAGTTTTTTCTTGGTTAAATATAGAATTTAGAGTGTTTGAAGACAAAGTTATTACAACAACTAGCAAACTTCTGGTATTCCTTAGGTTATGAAAGGTGTGTTAAGTTTGGTAAAATGAGATTAAAATCAATTTCGTGGATAAAATTAGCAACTGTGCTACTAATTCTGAATTTCCAATAATTCTGGACTTACTGCATCCAAAAACATTTAGAAAAAGCATAACTAAAAATAAATACATTTAATATAAAATTGCTTTTAGTGCTGCTGTCTTCGGAGCAATGGAATTAATTCATTTTTATAATAGTTTTTAAAATTATTTTATTTAAGCCAATCCTTGTCCGCACAGTGGGTGGATAAAATAAATACCAAGCATGCTTGGGGACTAAACACAAGGGGTTCCGCAGTCAGCTGACCACCCAACTGCTCCGGACCACTCCAACTGCTCCAAAAGCCTAATGTCAAGGAAACTGAAGTGATAACAGTAGACCAGTCTATGAGCTGTTGCACCACTGAGTATTTTAAAGCCCATTACTGGTTTGTGATTATTTTTTATGATTTTTCTGAAATAGAGCAATAAAAAAAATAATTTTAAGTATAACTGCATTTTTTTTTTTATGTAATTAAGCTTATTTCTGAAACCATTGTTGGATTTTTTTATGATTTTACTGAAAATAATTAATTTTGAGATAAAAAATTTCTTGTGCAGTTGGATCCAAAGCAAATATTTAATATAACTGTCAGCATTAAAATATTCAAGTATTGCATATTGATACTACATTTTTAAAAATATTAATATAACAGTTATTTTTAACTTGTAACAGCCAAGTATTAAAAATACTTACATAGAAAAATGAATGCTATAATGTATGAAATGAGTTTAGAATGAGACCATTTATTCCAAAAAATAAAGTGTACCACTACATATGTACACATATATACAATATTTACATAATTTCATATTGATATGTAAAGAAATTAAATAAAATATTTCATGAACAAACAAGCTAAATACAAAAAAAAATATCTGTTCTGTATCAAAATTAAGTAAAAAAATGTATACATTTCAAACAATAATGTGCAAGTTATAACAGCACAAATCTATCTTCTAAACATTTAAGATAATTCTTTAAAGTAACATATATTTTTTAAAAATCAGAATCTATACACCAAAAATATATTTTTCTTACAAATACAATCATAGTTTTAGGTAATGAATACATTATTTAACACTAGAAAGACTGACATACCTATATTGCCAAAAAGCAGTCAAAATGTCTGGGTTTTGAAAGAATAACTAATGTGTAAAGAAATTTTTTTTAAATAAATTTTTTATATTATTTACAGTTATATAACAAGCTATTATTAAATATTAACAATAAAAAAAATTATATGTTGTACTAAAAGTCACAAAATTCTAAGAAATTGTGTCATCATTGTTTTTCTAATTGAAATTAAAAGCAGTCAAAATGACTTCCTCGGGCAATCTAGTGTTAAAAATCAAGCAATGAATTCATACTAAATACAAAACGAGACATGTTCAATTAACAGAATTCAATATTACACTTTATGGGGAAGTTAGTTGGCAATTTTAGAGAAAACCTTTAAATGCAATAAGAAACTGCCAATATAAATCAATGACAAAATACATCAAACATTGGAATATAAATGTTATTAATGTAATGTTACGTTTAATTTTTGAAAATTTAGGAGTATTTCAAAAAAGTACTTAAAATATATGCTAAAAAAATTAGCAGTTATTATTGTTGTGCATGGGAATAATGGTGAGCATTGTATGCACTTCAGTTGTATTTGAAACAAATATAATTTACAAAAATTTGGACGTTTAATAATAATTTTATCAGAAAATGTTATATATTCTTATTTAAATTTTTCAGTATCTGGCAATGTTTTATTACTTACTAATATTTTATTGGTACATACAAAAACTTCAACTATTCTTCTTTTGGATAACATAGTTTTAAAAAAAAGTAAGAAGTAACACGTTAAATCATTTTGAGCCAAGTCCAAATTTACAATAAGGCACCTTTAAAGGATTTTAAAATAATTTGTAAGATTTAAACTAATTAAGAGAAAAGTTTAAACATATAATATTTTTTTAAAAAAAGATTAACTCCTAAATATTTTTAAGGAATTATTTTTTTCTTTTTCGAACCGATTTGGATTCTTCAGAGTTATCTTCGGTTTCCTAAAACAAAAAAAGAATTATTTTTGTACTTTTTTTTATATTAGTAGTTAAAAGCAAAACATGCAGTTTACTTAGCTTTCTTTCATCATTTATAAATATTATTTAAGGTTTATTTGCTAAAATAAACAACAAAAAATCTGGTAAAATAAAATCAGAATATAAAATTTTAAACTCAATAAGTTTCAAAGCTATACAATTTTAGAGTTCACTTCAGGCACTTAGGCAATACTCAGTATTTTCGTCAGTCCTTGTCATTAAAACGCTATGTCAAATCTCTTATAACTCTTGAACCACTTGAGCTAGGGTTCTGAAATCTGGACAATGACTACAAAGAACAAATTTAGTTCCATAATAAAATTGTTTAAAATTTTCATTAGTTCAATCAAGAGAGATGTTTGAAATATGATTTTTTTTTCATTGATTTAACATCAACCAGTGTTTTAAATAAAACTGCAGACGGTTCTGTTTCAGATTCTATTGCATGTGGATTGGTGCAATATTACTGAATTAGAATTTCTAATGCTATTCGAAACCACATATTTATTTTGTTCATAGTTTTGTTTTTAAAACGTGTTTCCATAGAGCTAAATAACTTAAAATCAACGGCAAAAATACAAAATACTCTAATATAGATAACTCTGTATTGTGGTAAATAGTTTACCACGGTTCACTGAAAGAGATAGTTACCAGAGAGAAAACTGTTTGATTGAGGTAAGTTTTGAGATGGCCTCCTGATATGCAAAAAATTTTAGTATAATCTCAGGTAACAGCATCATGCCAAATGTTACTGAATACAGTTAAACTTCATTTTCAAGAAATGAACTTCTAAAAAAAAGTAGTATTATGCTTAATCTACTATCAAGGGGAAAAAATGAAAATTTAGTTTTATGCATGATTTAGTAGTGTTGTTTAGAGCTGTGGAATCAGTAGTTGAAATGTTCAAATCCAATTCCTAGAATTGACATTCCTTAGAGCTTGACTCTGAGTCCAAATTATCAGTTAAAATTTTTACCATATTCCATGAAAGTTTTGATTTTTACTGTGTGATATTTTTTGCAGTGTAACTTAATACTACTAATTTAACTGATAATCTGATTAATATTTAGTATTCTAATGCTAAAAAAAATTCCATATATTAAAGCATATATTAATTACCCAGCAGATATGTAGATTTAGATAAGCATTTTTCTCTAGTTATAATACACCTGACCTGATATTTAGTTTTACTGTCAGAACCAAATTTACAAAGATGAGAAAAGTGTAAAAATTGCAAGTCTTAAACATTTTTTTAAGACTACCAATCCTAAGATGAAAACGTATAAAACAAAATAATTTTAAAAATTTAAGAAACAAACAATTTTTCCATGGTTTCCCAGAAAAAAAAGTGAGAAATAAAATATTGAATGTAATACATTAGAATCAAGTTAATATAGTATTAGTTAATTTTCAAGATATTGGAATCATTTTATACAAATTTTATCTTAAAATGCGTGACAAGAATTCCTTATAAAATTCTTAAAGAAAGGAGATAAAAATTTCCTGGTTTATTTGATGTAAATATTGTTAATCAAAAACCACTGTCTTTTCACCTGCTTTCTTTAAATCGCATAATAAATTGTTGCAAAACATTTTAAAATAAACTTTGTATAAAATGAACATAATTAACAGGAAAATTAACTGAGACTATCAATGTGATTCTCATAAGTAACACCAAAAATTTTATTTTTTACTTTTTTGGAGCAAAACAGTTTCTTTTGTTTAGTTTTTAAAAATTATTTTATTATTAGTTTGTTTTACCCCTAAGTTACATACTATTTAAATTTTACTGATTAATTTAATGAAAAAATGTGGGCATTATGTCTTCAAAATAATTTTTCATATCTAGTAAAAAAATTTAAAAATTAGATTTAATCTATATTTATATATATTTCTCTTATGCATACAAATTGCCTTTTACTTTGAGTCCTTTCCTTTCCAGTAAAATAAAGATGTACTTTAAGTACATAATTTATCTCACCATTTTTTTCCAACCATCTATTGGATATCTTTGAGTTTTATCAATATGAAATAAGAACAGTAACATAAGTCATCCATTTCTTTACACAACAAAAATCAACTTATAATTTTATTTTCCTCTCTCTTCATAATTTGATTTTTGAATTCTTCAACAAGAATGAGTTCTTTTGATGAAAGTTTGTTTAACTAATTTTCGTGCTCCTGCAAATCAATCTGAAGCTGGGCGTGCTTAAAACAGCAACTGATGATAAAACAACAATTCTTCACAATGGCAGCACAATGTCTTTAAACACTGAGCCATTGGAGCTCACGCCTTGTAATTACATTTAAATTGTACAGTGTGCAAACAAAATACCCTGCAAATCTATCTGAAGCTGGGCATGCTTAAAACAATCACTGAAAATCAAACAACAATCCTTCACAATGACAGCACAGTGTCTCCAAACACTGAGCCATTGGAGCTCACGCCTCATAATTACATTTAAATTGTACAGTGTGCAAACAAAATACCCTGCAAATCTATCTGAAGCTGGGTATGCTTAAAACAGTCACTGAAAATCAAACTACAATCCTTCACAATGACAGCACAGTGTCTCCAACCACTGAGCCATTGGAGCTCACGCCTCGTAATTACATTTAAATCGTACAGTGTGCAAACAAAATATCCTGCAAATCTATCTGAAGCTGGGCATACTTAAAACAGTCACTGAAAATCAAACAACAATCCTTCACAATGACAGCACAGTGTCTCCAACCACTGAGCCATTGGAGCTCACGCCTCGTAATTACATTTAAATTGCACTGTGTGCAAACAAAATATCCTGAATAATTTTTGATCTAGTGATTGTATCTTCACATACTAGAACTCAATCATAATGGTTTAAAGAGTTGACCTCAAATATGCTAATTGAATAGTGTAGAGGATATTTTAAGTTACAAAATCAGACACAAAAACATATTTTCTCTGAATGAACAAACCTTTTTTCGACAGATTCGAATTCTTGACCCTCAAAATATAGGGCATAGCTGTGAACTGGGAAATGGTGTCCCAATAGTTTGGTCAGAGGGATCAAAAGTTTGGACCCATTATTGTTAATTTCGCATTTTACAGATTTCATCATATCTTGAGAATTTTTTTAGCAAATTTAAAAAATTTTGCACACAATTATACAATTTTTTTATATTACAATTATACAATTATTGCACACAATTACACAATTTAATTTTTTATAATTTTTTATTATTTCATTTAATAATAATCAAAAAATATTTGAATTGCAAGGAACATAATTTCTTATATCATTTAATTTAAAGAATGTAATTATATATGGCATAATACATTTAATGAAAGGAATCATACAGTTCATGAGTAATTGATTTTTTAGTGAATGAAAAGGGTTTAAACTGTGAGTAACAATGTGATGTTTAAATTGTGACAAGTAGTAAAAACATAAACATACCTCTTCCTTTTCCTTTTCTTGATCACTTTCTTCCTTCTCATCATAAGATGAATCCTCACTATCTTTAGAGCTGAAGAATAGTATTTGTATCACACTGACAGCAGCAATTATAAACTGAAATTTTTTGAAAAGAAAAGTAATTAGCTTAATTTTATTTGACACTCGTGCACTTTCCATTCATTTTAATTTAAAGAATTGAAGCTTGGAGCTTGCTTTTATATTTCCTTTTGAAGTGCTTTGTAATTCAAGCCAGCTTTGCTGGCTCATTGAATACCTGTGTATTTTAGTTTAGCTTTGTATATATGTTGATGCTTTTTTTTTCCAAATGAAGTTCTAAAAATATGAAACATAAGTATTCTGTGAAACCTTTGATTTATATTCCTTTACGTACGATTATATTTCCACAGGCTGTAAAAAGCTATAACCATGGTACATCAGACCGATATAACATACACGAACACCTTCCGTGGAAAATTTTCACCATCTCGGCAAAAAAAATTTTTTATTACTAAAATGGAAAAAATACACTTCTTTAAAGAACGTTTGTCTTTTTAGAACTTCGAAGAAAAAAATTCATTTTCTTACGAATGTAAACGGGATTACATACACATGATTTGAAATCAGACATCGCGATTCCTATTTACGGGATTTTATACAGCGCATCGTTTTTCTTATTTTCCCACTTTTTTTAAATCAAATATCGCATTTCGGATTCACATGATTTAAAAGCCACTATTATGATTCATGTTCAAGTGACTTAAAAAGTATATATCAGAATTCGCATTGACAAGATTGTAAAATGAAATTCGAGATTCGTATTGACACGATGTTAAAATTAAACATTGAGATTCATACTCATGCGATTTTAAAATCAAATATCAAGATTCGTATTTATGCGATTTTAAAATCAAGCATCGAGATTCGTATTGACGCGATTTTAAAATTAAATGTCGAGATTAGTATTCTCGTGATTTAAAAATCACACATTGAAATTCATATTCACACAATCTAAATAAAATTTCGCAACCATATTTTCCTTAAAATCTTGATAATATTTTGTGGGTAAATGCTTCCTACATTCACTTTTTACTTGTTTAAATTTCAGGTATTTCTTAAATTATTTAAAAAGTGTTTTTACATATAATAGTTTTGAATTTCTATTTTAAGCTTTTTTGGTTTTTACCTAACTCATCTCTGTGGTATGAAAATATATAGCATTCTATAAAAATTTAAAAAAAAATTTAAAAAATCTGTGTTTTTCAAACAAATTTAGCCAAATTTAGTCTTTGAAAGGGTTAATAAATGACAATTAATCAATGTGCGTAGAAATTCTTTTAAATTAGATTTTATGTAATTTAAAAGAAAGCATTTCATTTTATCCAAATCTGTTGCACATACATTAGTATATTAGAAATTTACCACAATATCTGTAGAACCTATTACCATAATTAATTTTGCATCACCAGCACCAATAAATGCTATTTTTCAAGTTAAACTACATAACAATTTATACAATTTTTGAATAATATACTTGAAAAGTTCTATACTCAAAGAAATTGCAAGAATTATTTTTATATAGAGAGAGTACTCAGCTCAGTTTTAATCCATATTTTGTTTACCTGTTGGTCGGTGAGTGGCTGTCTATTACATAGTTATTTAATGAATCAGGGCTCGAAAAACCACCCGTCCGCCCGTCCTCGGCGGTCAAAATTACCCCGGGGACAACAAATTTCTCGAATCTAACGTCCGCGCGGACGGCCATTTTCCCGTTAATGTTCATGATATATTTTCAATTTTTGTTATCTTACAAGAGTCTAGCTCCTCACTTCTAAAATGACCCTCTAATCTCAAAATACAGCAACATACTGCTCATGGTAAAATGGATGTTTTCTCTGTCTGGGAGTACTGCAGCGGTTGAAAGGGGCTTTTCAGAAATGAACTTACAAAAAAAAACACATTACGTACTGGTCTTAAACAACAAGCATCAACCGCAATTATGAACATCTACCTAAATGGAAAGTCTCTTTCAGATTTCTGTGCAGAAACCTCTGTAAATCATTGGCTTGATTGTGGAANAATTTAAAAGAAAGCATTTCATTTTATCTATATCTGTTGCACATACATTAGTATATTAGAAATTTACCACAATATCTGTAGAACCTATTCCAATAATTAATTTTGTATCACCAGCACCAATAAATGTTATTTTTCAAGTTAATTTACATAACAATTTATACAATTTTTGAATAATATACCTGAAAAGTTCTATACTCAAAGAAATTGCAAGAATTATTTTTATATAGAGATAGTACTCAGCTCAGTTTTAATCCATATTTCGTTTACCTGTTGGTCGGCAAGTGGCTGTCTATTACATAGTTATTTAATGAATATTCCTAAAAAAAGATTTTTTTCCCCCCTTATAATTTTTGAGACGAAATTTCGATTTAGATTATCTGTAATTTCAGATTCCAAGAGTTTAACTGTATTTGTTTTAAAAATGAATGACAATATCAATAACAAACTGCAGAAAAAAATTTATAGAAATAATTAGGCGAACTTTGCTCATTAAAATACAATAAAACAAAAAAGCAGAAATTAATACAAAAATAAATATTTGATTGAGAAACACTTTTACCAATCCAAGAGATGTTCCAACAATGATGAAAGTTAAACCAAAAGCAATGTCTGTAGCACTAGCAAAAGGAACAAATTTCTGAACAATAGCATCTTCATAATTCTAAAATAAAACAATCATGCTTAGCAAATAAATGATTTTATGAATACATTGAAGATATGAAAAAAGTTATGAATACAGTGAGTATATAATAAAACAAAATATCAACAAAAAAATTTTTTTTTAAAAATGCATTACATAAAAATTAAGTTGAAGCATTCAATTGTTTTATACAGAAAAAAAGAACTGTTTCTTCTGAAGTGATTTAAATCTTAACACATACATTTTAGAAGATATTTAATTTTGCTGGTACTAATTTTTAAGATTAAGATAAGATAATAAATAAATAAATGAAGATTTTTTATTTTTATTATTCTGAATCTCTAGAAAAACAATTTTTCCTAATGTTTTTTTTAAAATGTAACGTTACATATCAATTATAAAAAGTGGGTGGGTGGCGCAGTTGGTTTGTCGTCGGCCTTCTGTGCCCAAGTCTGCGGGTTCAATCCCCGGCCCAGACACCGAATTTTTGGGATGCAGAAAATCCTCAGCGGTCATGTCGTATGATTATGTGGCATGTAAAAGATCCCTGGAGTGCCTTATTGGCTCTTGGCATTTCCGGCAAAATTAAATTCCTAGTGCACTTTAGCATCCAAATAGAGTCTCGGTGCTGCCATCTAGTGTGGCAGAAACTAGACGTCCAAATTAGCATGACCAACGGTATCTCACCCATTATGGTGGTTCTGAAAGAGTGGATACCACCTCTGGAGAACGCACTAGGTCTGCTCATCAGCAAGACCGATTGTGCAGCTCATTGGAAATAAAAATCAATTATTAATAGCGAAATTAAAATAGCGATTTAAATCAACCGATTTACATAAACCGTTGATGAAGAGACAGTAGTATACACTTAATGTAATCATTTTGAGATACGATGATTTTCATAACATTAGGCTGTTGATAACAATAATTGAATCATGAAATTATATAAATTTACGAAATTAAGCTGCACATACTGAAATTGAAAATAAAATTAAATCTCTCAACTTATAATTGTGCATTTCCTTTGAAAATTATACATAATTTTTATATTTTAAAGGATCAATTTAATTATCAATTGAATTTATCAATATTATATCAATCGTTGATTGTCTATATTTTTTCCTAAGAAGCTCATTTATATTTACAGAAGTTCCTAATCATAATGTATTTTAAAGTCTTCGGAGCAGTATTGTACTCTACTTTCATTGCATTCCTCATTTCAGCAGTTGTATCTCATCATTTTCATCTGACTTGTACATTTCATCACTAATTTTTTTTCCCATAACAATCTGGCAAACTTCTGATAATGTGGAAGATACGAAAATTCTCAAGCGATAATCCAGAGAAATAAAAAAACAGGTTTCTTCTGAATACACAGTAAATAATTCTTGGGCCGTTAATATTTCATTAATTTAGATTTTCTTAAAAAGAAAAAAACAGGTTTCTTCTGAATACACAGTAAATAATTCTTGGGCCGTTAATATTTCCTTAATTTATATTTTCAAAAAAATAAATAAATACACTAATAACATTAAAGGATGTAATAATCGCAAAAAGGGATAATTTTAACAAACAAATAAACAGAGAAAAAACCAGACCATGTGATTTAAACAATAAACGACTGATAGCATTAACCACGATCAATACATCACATCATATCAATGATTTTCTTTTTTTTTTAAATAGTGAGATCAAAATTGTGATTTAAATCAAACATTTTACATAAACTATTGATGCTTTATCTAAATGAAATATACAAAAAGTGAATGCATTACTTACATAAAGATTTACAGCATGAATGAAGAGATGTGATAACAAAGACATTCTGAATTATTTGGAGAAAAAATAAACATTTTTGTCAATGCATACTGTACACTATAAAAACTAAAATCAGTATCATGTAACATATTAAATACAATACAAGTGAAAACAATAGATTTTTTTAATTATATTTGTACATGTAGAGATCAAATTTTGAATATTGAATTCTTCTAAAGATATGAATATGTTCACCCCAGATAGAGTTCAATGTAAGTGTAAACATTAGTTTTCCCTATAAAACACTTGTTTATTGTGATTGCAATACTTGAATTTATGCTCATTTCTAATTTTAAGAACCTGAATAAAAAATAGAACTATAACTAAATATCAAAAACGTACTACTAAAGAGTTACTGTTAAACTTATTTAGTAAAATATTATATCCACTTATTTTATGCTATGTGAGTAATATACAAACTAATTTCTTATGAAAGCTGATTTTAGTAATTCTCTCTCATTTACAGCCAGGTCCTTATGAGGCAGTGTTATTACCCCATTTTGTGATATTATTAATTAGAAATTTCTTTTTTAAATTATCCAAAGAAAATCTAAAAAGCTAAAGCCATAGATTATGATAAGTATATTATAAAGCTATATATTATATTGAACCTTCTTATCTCAAACTTCAAATAGTTACTGACAATCAATCAGGAAAAAAATTGATAGTTAAAAGCAAGATTAACAAGAACAAGATTTCAAAATGTTTTTCTTGGTTTATTTCTTCAAACATAGGCAATTAGAAAATAATAAAAATCTAACATAATATTGTTGTTCTCGCCGAAACTCTTCTTTTTGAAATTGTATCAGTTTTCATGGGTTTTGGACAAATTCTGGTACTTTTCATCATTACAATATGTTTGTTACCTTTTTTCAATGTTTTTTTCTTAATTGATGCCTCGCCTATTATGTTTGAACACTCAAACTCCTAAATTCTATTTTCTGAGTAACTACTATGGTTAACTTTAAAATTTAGAATAAAAACTAAATTCTTTGAGGCCTCCTGGTGTTGCCATGGATCGCCACCAAGAGTACCTTTTTGGAATCCTCTTTTTCTTTTCCTGAGAGGTCACGTACGCACACTTATAGGTTACAGTATCACTGGATTTAATTCACATGATTTTATTTCACTTGATATTATTTATTTTAAAAAAAACAATGATTTTAGTAAAAAATGTTTTTTATTTAGGATAAAATTTATAAATATATTATTGAAGATGAGATTTTTTTTNCAATTCATCAGAAAAAAATTTATAGTTAAAAGCAAGATTAACAAAAACAAGATTTCAAAATGTTTTTCTTGGTTTATTTCTTCAAACATAGGCAATTAGAAAATAATAAAAATCTAACATAATATTGTTGTTCTCACCGTAATTCTTCTTTTTGAAATTGTATCTGTTTTCAGGGGTTTTGGACAAATTCTGGTACTTTTCATCATCACAATATGTTTGTTACCTTTTTTCAATGTTTTTTTTAAATTGATGCCTCGTCTATTATGTTTGAACACTCAAACTCCTAAATTCTATTTTCTGAGTAACTACAATGGTTAACTTTAAGATTTAGTATAAAAACTAAATTCTTTGAGGCCTTCTGGTGTTGCCATGGATTGCCACCAAGCGTACCTTTTTGGAATCCTCTTTTTCTTTTCCTGAGAGGTCACATACGCACACTTAGAGGCTACAGTATCACTGGATTTAATTCACATGATTTTATTTCACTTGATATTATTTATTAAAAAAAAAACAATGATTTTAGTAAAAAATGTTTTTTATTTAGGATAAAATTTATAAATATATTATTGAAGATGAAATTTTCTTTATGTCTGATTTCATTGATATTGAAGGCTTTAAGTAGAAAAATAATGAGAGGGTAATGTATGCAAATTATTATTAGATGTTTAAACAAGACTTTCCATTAGCTAACTGTGTATGAAATAATTTGCTATTTAATTTACATATTTCAACTATACCAATTCAGTTTTATGTTTATGCAAATACAAACACTTTAAAAATGCAGTTAGTAGAGTATATAAATAATGAAGAAAGACGTGTTCTGCCAAGAGTAATTCAGAAAAATTGATTTTTTTTTTATCTATCTGTTTTTATTTAATTTACTTTTCAATTGATATTTTACTGACAAATTACACCTCTGTCCTTGAGAATTAATAAAAGTTTCGAGCTCCAATAAAAACTTTAAATTTCTCAGTAATTAGTTTAGAATATTTATATAATTATTTTAACAATTTTAATTCAAAATGTTCAATATAGTTATAATATTGTTTTTTAATAGTATAAAAAATTAATAATGTATTTTATCAAAGCTTTAATTGATGTAAGCAAAAGAAAATTTTTTAAAAATCTGATTTAAGTTTTAAAAAGTAATAATAAGATTTTTTTTAATATTTATTTAGAAAAAAATCATGCTTTTTTCCGACCCTGCTCTATAGACATCAATAAATGCAGTAACATAGAAGTATTTGGAAAATTTAAATAGGAATTAATCTATCAGCTATTGTATGTTTGTTTACAGCAGATACATACAATAGCTAACCTGAAATTCCTTTTAACTGCTGAAAATAGTTATTTACTTAATTTAAAAAAACAATACATATAAAAACCATGAAACTTTATTTAAAAAAATTTAAGGTAAGGAGAATGATTCTTGGTCTATATAATATTGATTTAAAATGGAATTTTTATTCAGAGATTAAATTGAAAAACCAAGATTTAACAGCACCAATTAAAATATAGTCACTTTTAGTACATATATTTTGGGAATACAAATAAGTTTCTGCTGTTTTCTATCAAAAATTAGCAGTTTATTGTGAAAAAAGGCTTTTATTCAACGTATTCTCCATTACTAGACACTATTTTTTCACTGCAGATTTCTTCAAATTAAAGAAGTAAATCAAAAGTTACCGCAAATGGCGCATATTTGGCATAAGACTTGACATTTTTGCATGAAAACTATTACATAATGCTAATACGGAATCACTTATACTTTAAGGTTATGTTGTTACCTGATGAACAAACTTACAATAAGAAGTTTAACACCAGTCAATTTCTACCTAATTTTCTGGTAGTGCCATTGCATATTAATTATCAAATTCAATAAGATTTAAGTGAACAAATAAAAATGAGCTACTTTAAAGTATACAAATATACAAAATTGTGTCAAGTAAAACAATATTTTTGGAGCTCTGTTGCCCATTTCAAGTTAGAAGCAATAATATTTTATCAAAAAATGCAAATTAATTACATTAGCATTATTTAAAAATCAAACAAACTAGTACTTAACTGTACAGAGAAGGGATTAGTCAGGAAGCCAACAGGTTTTAATTGACCCCATTTTTTATCTCTAATTGTGCTCATCAGGATCTCTCTGCTCACTTTGGGAATTTCATGAGCTACTCCGTTCTTAACACTGGAACATCAAAACATAGCAACTTTACAAACAGTTAAACTAATATTTATTTTATAAGCACGAATTATAATTACAAATATATATATATATACTAATTATACTCAAGTAGTCAAGTCAAAACTTTAAACAAGGAAATTTAACATTGGTTTCATACAAAATTATTTGATTTCATTAAATTTTATTTGCACATATAAGCAAATTATCCAATATGGAATTAAGTGGGGATTACTGCAGCACAAAAAAAGAAAAAAAAAAAACTCCAGTGATCTCTTTGTTCATCTCATCCTAATTTACTGTCACATTATCTAATCAAATATTTTAACTGTGGAAACATTAACTGATCAGACAACCTTAGATACTTTAAAAAAAATTTTAAAAGATTATAGGTATTTTGAGCTAAGCAAAGTATTTTCTATAAATGATTTGTTTCATAAAAAATAACTTGACTCATGAGTAATTATTAGACTCTACTCACTACAAAAAAATTAATGTTCTTTTTCAATAATTTTTATCTGCTGAATGTTAATGAAACATGGCATATAAGTTTTTTTTTCTTCATTTTTCTTACAAAAAGATAAGAGCCCATTGTAATAATTTCCTTAAAGTAATGTACATAAATATTCCATCATTATTCATGCAAACTTATTCAAGGTAATTGATTAAATATATAAAATTTTAGAAAGTAAAAGAAAAACTTACTAAAATACTTTTGGATATGTAGTTACTAGAAAACGAACATCAAGACCTATGGGCAAAAATCATTTTTATCAGAACAAAACACAAGATATATTAATACATTAGTGTATCTACTTTTCAGAAAAGCATAGATTTCAATTTCAATTGAATTTCCACTCAATTCAAAAAAATTTAATTGAGTGGATCACCCCCAAATTATTAAAAACAGCTGTCATTCCTAAAGAGTTGAAAAATTTTAATCTGTTAAAATGTTGTCCAGCAAAAATTTCCCTAAGCCTGCAATGCTTTTTCATGATAAACTTTTATTTGTAAAGGAAAATATAAATTAGCTAAGGCCTTTTTTTAATTATATTAACTTTTTTATTGAAATAAAAATTCATATGAAATATACAGTGGAAGATTGAAATCTGGTCTAGAGACAGGGCGGTTGAATCAGGTCCAGTGGCAATGGTGCCTAAATATATTTCAACTCATCAGAACAAATATTTTGTATTAATGAATCGAAAATTTATATTCTTTGAGAAGTTTTTTATTTGTTCTGTGTAATGCCGCATTGATCAACAAAATTAAAAGTGCCAAATGGCTGAGATGATATGAGATTTGTATACTTTAGAAGCTACCTTGAGTGAGAAAGTTCAAATACCCCTCCCGCATTTTTCTTTAAATTTGATTTTTAATTAAGATTAAATTCAAATAAAAAGATATACCTTTGCATAAAACAAAATTTATGATTTAAGTCATTTTATAACATTTTGAGCAGAATTTTCGTGAAGAATACTTTGTGTTTACCTTCTGTGTGAGCCAAACCTCTTTACCTCTGAAACCCTTAGAAAAAAATTTTCCAACTTTTTCCATTTCCTAATTAAACTTTTATTCCAAACTTGCTTGTATGATTTTCTTATATTATATTGCTTTACAAGAAAATTTTGAAAATTATGAGCTATTAATAGTAATAAGTAGTGCTAACATAAGACATATGTCTTATGTAAGCACTACTCATACTCAATAGTCAAACTTCTGGGCTAGTTGTTAGTATCGATTTTATGTAAATTAGGTTAAGGTTAAAAGGTGACTGTTCAGTGTTTTGCTCTCTTATTGCAAGGAACAAAACTTTCTGATGAAGAAGAAAGCAGATTGAGAATCATCAACCACTATGTTGTTCTTGTTTGAATTAAGCCAGTTTGTGACAAAAGCTGGAATGATTCTTTTAAAAGTGACTGAAACAACTGTTTATTAATTAATCTAGGAACTAAATGATTAGAAATACAAAGAACCATTGCTGCCATCAACGTTCTTTTAATGTGGAACATGAACCCAAGAATAAAGAGAGAAGAAAAAAGTTTGTATGTTTCTTAATATTTGCTTCATTTATGAATTTTTTTATTTTTGAAAACGAAATCAGCATCTCGCAAATTAAATCAGGTTACGAATTATTTCCATTTTGGCTTTAGCTGATGTAGTGAGAATGAAAACAGAGGGTGGTAGGGAAATTATAAGAGAAATACATTGCTTTGCTTTATTATATAAATATAATAAAATAAAAATACAAATTTTTAATTAGAATATTAAAAAGGCTATAGTACGGCTACTTTTAAAATTCAATATTAAAGTAGAAATATAGTTAAGCTATATTGAATCATTTTTTAGCGGTTTAAAAAAACAGGAAATTGAGACATCCAGGATAGCAATGGTCCCGATCATTCTGCATAATTGGTTCTCAACAGAAGTTGTAGTCGACAACATTTGTAACAAACAAAGTAGTTTGTAACTAGTTTAAGAACTATTTTACAAAACTATATAAATACGCAACTATTCTGTTATAATAAAATTCAACAAAACATAATAATTACAAAAAGTTGCAATATTTTATCTCACACTAAATAGTGTTTAAATTATGATTTTTGAAAAAGATGACAAAATATTAACCTTTTTCATTTATAATTTATTACAATAAAATATTTAAAAACTTACATTATACAAAATTTAAAATATACAAACAATCTTCGAGATCTTATTACAGCACTGTTTAATAAGGACAGTTGAATTCGAAAGAGAAAAATTAAACTGATAGAAAAATGGAAAAAAAACAATCAGCATATGCATACAAAATTAAATAAATCAGCAAAGTTCAATTGCATAATACTAATATATAATATAACAATTGAATAATATAATAATCAAAATGCATAATATTTATGAATATATGAGCTTTAAGAATTAATTTTAGTTTATTCAGAATCTATAAGGTCTCATTTTCTACATTCATAAATTTAATAAAAAAAGTGATGAAATTATTACTAATATAGGCATAAAAAAAATTTTAGTTATTTTTTTATCAAAAATTATTCACTAATTTAAAATTAAAATACTGGGAACAAATGAATTAAGCTAAAGTGAAAGATTACAAACATAACAATAACCAAAAATTATGCTAAAATAATGATAAATTAAGAAGCATACCTGGAGTTTTAGGAGCAAAAATCTTGCCCACATTAATATTCTCAGTCTTGCATTTCATGGCAAATGTTTTCCAATCCTTTTCTAACTGTAAGCTAGATTCAGTTTCTCTATCAAAACTAAATAAAGAAAAGATAATGAAATTGAGAAACTAATGGAGAATAGTAAAAATACATACTTAAAAATTGAAAAAATTTCAAAAGTTGTCACTCAATATTTAATATTAATGCAATGCATAACATAGAAGAGTAAATACATTTATTAACTTGAAATATATTAAAATTTAAGCTAAGCATACTTATTCTTCTCAATACAAACAATAAATTTTCCATATTTGTAACAGATTGTTGTTCTTTTTGTATAAATTAGGGTCAATATAGAAAGTTTCTCACTGTTTCAAAGGCTTTGAGGCAGGGTTTGCCAAGTAGGCCCACTTTGAAAAAACCCGCCCGAGATTTATTGGGTGGGCCCACCTTGAAAAAACCTACTTGGAACAATAAGTGGGTTTTTTCAACAACAAAAAAATTTTTTTATTAAAATTTATTGTTGCACATTTAATTTTATGTAATTTATTGTGCAGCATAAATTTTTTAAAATAGAGTTGCATGATTTATATGATTCAGTTTTTAATATTTGTAAAGTAAAAGAAACTCGAATGTATAATTTTATAGTACTATTGAAAACTTTAGTAAGTTTTTTCAAAAGTAATATTTTAATTAAATTAAATTAAATTAAATAGAAATTTAAATAATATAGTTCGAAAAGATCAATTTTTTAAATTAATTCAAAAGATCAAATATGGTTACATGCTTTATATATAAATAAACAAGTTATTATTATTAATTCATATCAGGGTTGGGTTTTTGCCGTCAAAAACTGGTTTTTGACATGACAGTGGTAAAAACCGTGTTTTTACCGTTAAACACCGTCAAAAACCTACTGTTTTCTTTCATTTATGGCATATAGCGGACAATGTATTATTTTCACATAATTGCCTTTATAAAATGTAAATGATTGCTATTGATTTTGCAACTATATACACGTATTCTTATAGAAGGATATACATTCATACAGAAATATTGTTATATGCTTATTGAAAATAGTGATACTTTTATCATTATAGCTTGATTTGCAAAGGATTCAAAATTTTGCACTTCTTAGTTGTTAGAAATAAACAAACAAACAAAAAAGCTTGAAACTATTAATAAATTCAAGAAATAAAAAAGAAGAATTTAAAATTTAGCATTTCTTAAATATTAGAAATAAGCTAAACAAAACTTTCAAAACTTGTAACAACTAACAAACTCTTAAGTCTTGACATTCTTCAGTAATGTAATATGCCGAACAAAATGATGCTTGGAAATGTTGAAAATTTTGTTTAGTATCCTAATATTTTACTTCAAATAGTATGTTTTGATTTAATCATGTTGGGAAAATGTAAGAATCTGTTCTTAAATATCTTTTAACAACTTTTTTTCTAATTTTATTGCCCAAAAATGAATTAATTTTAAACTATAAGCAGTTAAACTCAAATAAAAATACAGTTTTAACAAAACTATGGGTTTTTGACAGTTTTCGACATTTTTGCCAGAGGGGTTTCTGACATGACGGTAAAAACCGTCATGTGTCAAAAACTTGCCAACCCTGATTCATATGTTTAAAAAAATTGAAAAGAAACAATTTTTTTTTCTTTTTTTTTTTAACTAAGTGATACAATAACAAATTTAAACAGTTTTATTTTCTGGCTTTAAAGAAATAAGATAAAACTTTTTATATGAGAATTTCTTAAAATTATTTATCTAAAAATGAAATCATTTTCCTACGATTAATTATTTAAAAAAAATGCAGAAGTAACTGATAGTTTTTATAATTATAAGTAATTTTAATTTCGCTTTCTATTAATCTTATTATAAAAATATGGAACACCATTAAATATTTATTTCAGTTTTTACTGATTATAGTTTTATAATAGGTTTTATATATATATATATATATAAATGTGCGTAATCACTTTGCACTTCCTCAGTTTCTACAGCAAATTTTTAACCAACATCAATCACACCACAAGTTTCAACGTTTTCATCAACTGATTAAAAAAATAATAAAAACATTATACATGATGTTTGAGAAGTTTTCTCCAAACTATAACAAGTTTACACAAGGTCTTCTTCATTATTAGCATCAGAAGTAACTGCTTTTATTTTCAAAACGAAATAATTTGCAATTTCGTTTAAATATTGGCAAGGCATCAGAGAATTTTTAAACTTCCAAAAAATAAAAACAGAGATTTTTGCCTGGGAAAGTCTACAAGTTAAACACTTCCAATTAGTCCTCTGTGATTTTTTTTCTATTTTATTTTAAGTTTTTCACTTTATTGCCAGAAGTTACCAAAATTGACAATTATTTTTTTGCAGGTTCCGATATGTAAATCTTCCAAATAGAGTCTCCAGTTTATTTCCTTCTGAGACATTCAAGCAAGTGTTATATTTTGCTTTATGAAGCATCTTTTTTAACTATATCTAAAAACATGACAAAGATATGAAAACCATGGCTACATAATAAATTACAGTGGAAAGTCCCATATTCAAATTGCCAGGACTTCAGCAAGTCTAGAAAATATATTTTTCTGGATAATAGCTCTTGAAGGTAAACATAAATTAAAACTTTCTAATTCAATAAAAAAATAACAGACGATAATTAATGTCAATTGATGAATAAATCTAAGTGGTTTGCATGGTTGTGCTATTTTGAAAGATTTTGTAACAGATTTTATACGATTTTTTAAAACTTGATGCAAATTTCGAATCACACATTACAGTTAGTATTTATTTCTCAATCTACTTGATTAGCGACGATTCCACAGTGAATGTGATTGGTTTAGCCAGTCGTTTTAACAGTAGCTATTACAATGGATTTTCACTCAATTTTTTAATATATTATTTTAATTGGCAAACTTCGAATCACGCATTTCACACTCAAGTACTGGCAATTCACCGGCAATCTTACGTGAATTTATGATTGCATTTTTGTCAATTATTTCTAACGATTATAATAGTTTTTTAATGCTACATTATCATACCTGGGAAATTTTGAATTGTGCATTTGTAGAATTACTTTTTGATGACTCGATTTGTGACAATTTTACTGTCCATATGGCTTTGTTGATTGTTATTTCAATGGCTTGGGATTTCTACATAGTTTTTAAAAGGTCAATTTCATTTTAAATAAAAATAGAATATTATTATGATCAGCAAATTCAGAATCGCGCTTTTGAATAATCAATTAATGACCTGTTTTAGTCTTAACGAGAATTGTTCAAGTCTTGACAATTTCATCTCAAATCAATTTTTTCAAAATGTTACATTTTTGCACAATCTGAAATTAAGTGTGTGATTTTTTGTAGTAATAATTCTTTTATGAGTGAATTGAAAACAAAATACACAATTTTTTCATGCTGTAGTGAAATGCCGAATTTTCTTTCCCAATATTAGGTACCCAATTTTATTACTGACATCCAATTTCTTTTCATATTGTAGCAGAAATCAGATTAAAATTGAACAAAAATTGGAAGTGTGGTAAAAAAACAATAAGCAGAAACAAATGGAAAAACAGAGGATTTTTATTCTTGCATACTTTTTTCAACATGCCACAAATGTAAAAAAAAAAAAAAAAAAAAAAAAANAAAAAAAAAAAAGAAAAAAATTTTTTTTGGATGAAGGAAAAAGAATTTGTCTTAATTTCTTTTTTTTTTTTTTTGATTTTTAAAAAGTGTCCAGAAACAAGACTTCTGGTAGATGGACGTCCGGATAAAATATATTATTCAATCACTCGTGAACCTGCAAAATAGTTTAGAAGAACTTAGGGGATGTTTCAATAACCGTGCACCAATTACAATTACCAAGGCGCCAAAAAGATTTTAATAATAAAATATGTAGAGCTTTACTGGTGATGGTCAGCCTATAAGTTGGTTTCCCTATATATTCCTTGTTTTTCGTACTGTTAAGTACTGTTCAACAGCCACAAAAACGTGATTATCTTGGCAAATAATACAAAATGGTTCTCAGAACTTGAAGTAAAGTACGACCAGTATTATTACATGAATAATCCCAGAAAACTAAAGCGATAAGATAATAGTTGATTAAACAACTTCATTCGCTTAAGAAATAGATTTGAAACATCAGTCCATTGTTATATATCATTTGTAAATTTGTGAAACGAATGAAGTTTCTTTATCAAATAACAACCAGTATTTATTTATATTGTGTGTCAGAGATATTTCCTTCCTTCCGTTTCGAGATTTTTAGCGCAAACTACAATCTCCAAAACGCCAAATGGGAGACTTTACACTTACAAATTTAAATTTTAAAAAAAACATGGAGAGGACTACGAGTTATATCCCTCTGCCATGCTTTTTTAATTATATATTGTAATATACATATACAGATAGATATAGATATTATTTCTGTCGCTCCGCTACCCGGAAGTTACCAAGATTATTCTGCCGCAGATCATGATACGAAAATCTTTCCTTAAATCTACAGTTTATCATAAGTCATTGATTGAAATTTAATTACAACCCAATATATTCTCACTCAGATAAGATTGATTATAAATCAGAAAATTGAACTCACAATCCAATCAACCATTGACCTTTTTGAATTTGGTCCCACTTATCATCAGTAAGCTCAATTACAAGATCATCAGGTGGCACAACAGTAGATATGACTGATGAAAAGACTATCAATGAAGTTAGCAATTTAAAGAGTAAACGGTACAGTGAATTATAGCATGCCATTTTATAATAGATCGGGAAATAATACAGATAAATTATTAGAATCAGGAAAGTTTAGAGTCTATTCAAACCAAAACAAAAACAAATCCAATCAGTGCACCCGAAACAGCACGGTTACAGTGATTAACTTAATCATTTTTTTTTTCCTTTTCTTCTTCAGCCGAGACCACCCTGTGACGTTTGTTAAAGAGATAATCTCACTGTTTTAACTCACGCAATCATCGAACGAGGGGAAAAAATACCTACAAATTTGATTGGTTAAATATATTTTCGCTTGATAAATTTACCAATCAGGTTCCATTCTTCTCTAGAAAATCATCACAAATGCAGAGACAGCATTCGTGTGAATGTTCCTACGATCGGCGGATTGCGATTTTCATAGTGTTGCGATGTTTCATGCGATTTCTAACGAAAAATTTGCACGTGAAAACGTTTCGACCGCTTGAATAAGATGTCTTTAAAGCTGAGATTGAATTAGATTTCTGAATTTGAAAGCAATGTTTGAGCATTTTTCCAACTGCTTTACGAATACATTTCACAGACGTAATATTTTCCCTCATAAATCTATAGTTTGTCAAAATTTTCATATATTCTACGGATTTTCGCCTTATTTTCATTAAATTTTATTTTAAGTACCTGAGAATATTTTTATATAATTATTGAAAAAAAGTGGTTCACAGATAAATCTTCCGTCCCGCAGTGGACTGATTGTTAAGATCTCCGAAGTCAATCATCACTGNCTCAAGTTGAAACATATATACCTCTGGAGGTATATTTGAGGTTGGTTTTGAGGTATTCATTTGCACCCTTTTTAACCTCAACGACGTATTTAAATAACAACCTCCTTTATACCTTTAAAATGTACCTCGTTTATACCTCGATTTTTTCATAAGGGACCGCCTGGATTAGTCTGTGTAGGGACCGGGGATGTGCGGCATTGGTCCTCGTTAAACTGTTCTACCATAAAGTGCTCGCTTTCACGTGCAGGTCGTTTGGCTACCGAAGCGGGGTGCTACCCCCTCTGCAGAGGATCAAAATTGTGATGGCATGTCTTCGGATCATCCTCAGGGATGTCTTTCAGACAGTCACCAATTGCCCATTGTTCAGCTCTACTGCGACGTAAATTAACTGCAACAAGAACAAATCTTCCCTGGATTTTTCTTAACAAAATCTAGTATTTAAAACAAAAAATAGACGAGTTGATAATAAATAAATAGATAATAAATAAATAGTTGATAATAAATAATAGATAATAAATAGATTGATAATAAATAAATAAGATTACTATAATAAAGATATCGCAAATAGTATGAATAAAATTACTATATTTTATTACTATATATAAAATTACTATACTCTTTGAATTGCTCCTCTAGTGTCTAGTGTAGTCATACATAAATTTCAAATATAGAATTTTTTTTTTTGGAAAAATTGAATGACTCTTTTGCGTATTTCACAACTTGTTTTTGTACAAAATACTTTTGATTCATTTATAACTTAAGAGAATTTTATTTATAAAATAAAATTAAGATTATATGTATCTCAAATTTTTTAACTTTTAATTTTAATATAAAATTTTGGAGTTAAAGAACATATAAAAAAACTAAGGGGGGCCCCTAGAAACTTGGAGTCTTTAGGCTAGGGACTCTTCTGCCTTATGATTAATCTGGCATTGTCTACAGTATGTAATGAATCATCCTCTGTTTGTCTAATAATCTCAGTAATTTACTGTTGTAGAAAGGAGCTGAATATCATTTTAACCCTTATATTCATCCCATAATTTATTTGCATTTTAATATTTTGAAGGAAATTTTTTTTTCTCTAAATTTAAATACTGGATTTTAATATACTTGATTAATTACTTGAACTGATTTTTTCTATAATTTAAATTACTTAGGCAAGTCATAAAGACCTTCCATAAAATATTTCAACGGTACATCGACCTGTTAATTGTTTAATTCCTTTTTCCTCAGAGAAAAATCAGATGGGTAGAAAAAAACTATCTGCAAAACATAGTATGACAATTCAATTTTTATTACATAAAAAGGTGTCAACATTGATTCGCTGTTTACTTTATCACACAACTGTTATAAATAATGATTTGTTTCTGAAAACAATGTTCACATTTTTAATAAAGTACTTTTTAATTAATAAGGAGAGCAGTTGATCATCTCTGGTGGTATCTTCATTTTTGACACTTCCGAGGCAATGATGGCCCTGACCTGATTGCTGAGCAACTGGGTGACCAGTGTGTTGAGTACAGGGGTGAGGATGTCCCCCAGCAGTCCTACTAGTAGTTGCGTGAGGTCAATGTTCAATATCCGAATGGCAGTGATTTTCTGTACTTGAAATTCGGATAATTGGCAGTTTCCACCTGAAAGTGGTTGATCTACAGCGATGAGGACGTTTATTTCCAACACCAGTATATTGAGAAGTAAGTTGACCACTTGTCCCACTAGACGAGCAAGAGTGGTCCCAAGATTTCCTAAGAGACCTCCCAGAAGACCTGAAATAAAAATATTTCTTCGTTGAAAATACATTTATAATGCATATATTAAATACTAACATGTACAAGGAGCGTCCGGAAAGTAAGTACGTTTTGTTATATGAGTTGCAGAGTTATATGGCAGTTTCAGAGGTAATGTTGCAATGATAATATGAGAGTCAGAAGTGCAAATCTGTCAACAACAAAAAAGGACTGTTTATTCAGAGAAAAAAGTTTTATCTTTGATTTGGTAACTAAATTATCGCCTACACTAAATAATTAGCATGTTTGAAGTCATTCCCGTAAATCATTAAGATTGAGTCCTAGTATATGTAGAAATCGGATCATTAAATCAGAAGTTACTCTAGGTGTTCCGCTTTTTATTTTTCGCAATAATTAATTTTACTTGACGTTAGATAATTTGAATGATAAAGTCATTATGACAAAATATAATGTGAGCAAAGCCACAAAAGCAAACATACTATTGATACATACTGTTGATAGTGCGTAAAGCTAAGCACAGATGGAGCTAGGGGTTAAAATTCGCCACAAGACTTCCGGGTTACTGCTTTCGCTACGTTTTTTCGCCTAAGCTTGAAAAAGCGAGCCATCCAATAATATTATACTTGCAGTATTTTCAATGTAACGCGTTCTTTTAATTTAACTTTCAACGAAACAAACAACAAATGAATTTAGAAGACTACACAAGCTTGCTATATTGCTACCTCAAAAAATGACAAACAGTGCAATTTTACACAAATATACCCATATAATTCAAAACATGGTAAACCTTAAACTTTATTTATATAGCGATATTAATTTTCTTAAATTTGCTTTAGGTTTACGACCAGTTAGAATTTATAAATTATAAAAAAGTCTTATGAATGGCAAAATTACCCGCAAATATAAATTTAAATCACAATTACAAAACTTAAACCTAGAATATTAACCCTGTTCACACTTCCACCTAGAATATTGGCGATCGAAATGGGCTGCAGGTGGCGTAGAGCAGAACTCTCTACCAATAGCAACACTTCGCATGGCGCATGCTTTCCCCATTAGCGTGTGGAAAGTCACACAGGAAGGAGGTACGATAGTTGCTCTCTTGCATTTCATATAGATTAAAATCTTTTAAGTTGGAAAACTGTATGGAACTGAAAACTACATAAAACATAGTTCTAAAGAAAAGTATCACGGAAATTTTAAAAAATATTTTTATTAAATAAAAAGGAAAAATATTAAGAAAAGGGAAAATGTCGTAGTACATTCCTATACAACTGAAAAGAGGAGGAGAGGGAAGAGAGAAGGGCTAAAAGCATGAAACCAATCTCTCCCCAGATGGCGTATTCGAGTGTTGCGATCGCCAATTAAGCTTGTTCCACCGCCTGTTCGTCGGAGGGATACACTGGAAGTTTTCGAAATTTCTTCCAGTTTTCGGAAGCTTGTTTCTGTTTACATTCAGTCAACCAGCTATAGTTTTAATTCTGTAATAAAGAGCCTTTCTCAGCATGAGGGAGGGAGCGTGGAAATGCGGGAGGGAAATTACAAGCAAGCCGCATCAAGGATAAAAAATATATTTGTTGCAACTTCTGGCAAGAAAAAAAAGTTGTTTATTACAACTTGCGACAAGGAGAAAAAAAGTGGTTAATTGAAATTTAAAACAAATTGTTCTATTTTGTTTGTAAGTTTTCCTCTGCATTTCCAAGTTTTCTTCTCTCATTCAACACTGAACGTCAAAGGAGTGGACACAGAGAAGGATACTTTTAAATATACTATTATTCTTTTTTTTTGTTTAATTTTTACACGAAAAGTGATGATGAATATTTATTCCATTCCGAAGTATCTTTCCATGTAAAATACCAGGTCGTCACTCAATCATAAATATGAAGTATGCGGTATATCAGATTCTCTTTTCCCTTTTTCTGACGAAGTTAAACTAATACAATTCTACAACCAGTAGTTTCTGAAAGATAGTTAAATAATATATAAGTGTCTGTTTTTAGATTTTGAGATGATCTTCGTTTTTGAGCAATTTAGGTTATAAATTTTTTTTAGCATCATTATAATCAATTTGGCTATCATCAGTTTAAATTGTTATAAAACTAAATTTAGGAAAACTGGCAAATGTGTATCTGAAATTGATTGCTGAATGCCCCAAATCTCATATTTTTAGCACTTTGAAGTTTTGATGAAAATTCCGAAGAGGTTGTAAAAATTATCAAACACTTTTTCCCCCCGTCCAATATAGCGACCCTTTTTTTATCTTTAAAAAAATATTATGCTGCTGAATAGTATTGTATCATGAAAAGTTTATTAAGTACACAAAAATATCAAGAGAACGAAAATGAAAAATTTAACCTAAGATCCCAGATGGCGAGAATTCGTAATAGCAACGCTCGAATACGCCACCTGTAGAAAAGACCAATTTAGGAATAAACTACGATATTTTTTCCTTTCTTAATATTTTTCGCATTTACTTGTCAAAAATATTTTTTTTCAAATTTTCATGAAGTTTTCTTTTAGAACTATGTTCAATGTAGTTTTCAATTCCATACAGTTTCCTAACTTAAAAGTTTTTAATCTATTTTAAAATAAAGACAGAAGCTAACGTACTTCCTTTTCCCATGACTCTCCACGCGCTACTGGTGAAAGCATATGGTGAATGGTGTTGCCATAAGGAGAGAGTTCTGCTATATGCCACCTATAGCCCATTTTGATCGCCAATAGAGGCCTCTTAAAGTTAAAGAATTTCGTAACTCTATCTTAGAGATAACGGAGGTTTGATTAAAAAGTAATGTGTTTACTTACTGTCAAGGAGGGTGACCAGAAAAGTGACTGTGATGTCGATGAAGCTGACTTGAACAAAAATCTTCACCCTGTCGCCCATGCACATACAGCTGAGTTCTGAAGTCCGTTTGAAGTTTTTGAGATTTGAAATGGAACCCTGTGCCAACTGAACGCTGCTGGTGGTTGTGTCGGGCATCGACATGGAATTGGGCATCTGGTTACGGACATCGTTAAAACACTTGTCGAACATGCTCGTTACCTGTGGTTGAAGTGTACATGAAGTCTGTCGTTTAACACGGGCCAAATGAGCTAAAGGTAAACAATGAGTCATATATTACAAGGTGTACTTGTAGCACAAGCAAATATACAAAAAAAATCTCATGGGGGGGGTCGTAAACGCTATCTGGAGATGGAGAAGCTAGAGGGGGTTAATAATACGTAATATTCAAGGGTAATAAACAAAAAAAATCATTTCATTTTTACTGTATTTTCACGTATACTTTACAATATAGTGGAAAATAAGAAAAATTTGCTACGACCAGTTGTAGCATTTTAATAGCGGCTACATTTTAAAATATGTGGTAACTTTTTCAAAAATTTAAACGATTAAAGAAACTGTTGATATTAATGTAAGGTATTTCTTTTGAAACTGTTCTCAAAATATGGTAAACACTACAATGTTCATTTTTAAAGTGAACTAACATTTTAAACAAGCGAGAACTAAAGTAATTTTCAGAATTTTATAAAATATTCATAATAATTCGATATTTTCGAAAAATAATAATTATAATAATAATAAAATGCTTACGGGGTGCATCTTTGACGAAAAATGTAGCGATCAGGTGGCGACTAGATTTAACTTTTTTAACCCCTTCCCTATTGGATTTTTTTTTTCGAAATTCCGACTCAAAAAAGAATTTTTTTTTCAATAGCGGAAAATTAATATATGTCCGATCCTAAATTCGAAAATGCAAAAAAAATTGTTTTTTTTTTTTTTTTTTTTTTTTTTTTTTTTTTTTTTTTTTTTTTTTTTTTTTGCATTGGTGGTTTTGGGTAGGCAAGTATGTAAGATGATAATATCTTGGCATTGTATGCGAAGACATTGTATATGTTACGGTTAAAATAATTAATCCGGTTATTATTAATACTAACCTGTCATTGTTAATAATAACCGCTTCTTTTGGTCAAAATGAGAAATATCTCAAATTATTCACTTCAACCAGTTATTATTAATAACAACCAATGACGTTTAGTCAATGTGATTAAACGGTTTATATAGCATTCTAACATAGATATACCTGTTTGTATATGTGTTACGGTTAAAATGATAAATCCGGTTAATATTAATACTCACCGGTAAAAATTAATAATAACTGCTTCTTTTGGACAAAGTGAAAAATAAAAAGGAATATTTCCGTATTGTGATCTGTGGCAAAATAACCGCCAAGTCTTGGCAACTTCAGGCAGCAGCCCACGAAAAACTAAAAAAACATCACAGAAAGGGAACAACTCGTAGCCACCCCCGAGCAAATATCTAAATGCTTCTTTTTTTTTCCAGTTTAAAATCAACTTGCCGCCTTGGCGATTGTAGTTGGCGTGGCAGATCACAATACGGAAATATCCCCAATAAAAGTGCGAAAGAATGACGTTGACCAAGTGTCATTGGTTATTACTAATAATAACCGGTTAAAGTGATAAATTCGCTTAAATTATTAACTTTAGCCGACTAATTTCGTTACTATAATTACTGATAGGTTAGTATTAATAATAACCGACTATTCATATTGACCGTAACATATACACCGACAAATGCTCTTAAAGATACGTATGATAGTTAAGAAAAAACGTCCGTGAAAGCAATACCAGGAAATGGCAGTTAAACTTAATTGCGCAATGTCATTCTCCCAGTTCATCGGATTATTAATAAAAATGCGTGCTAATTAATAAAAATTAATACCTTTCTTGAAAAACAGAAAGGTAATGTGAACCTACTTGTACCGAGAAATAATTTTCAAATTACATTGTCGTTTCATATTTATAAGTATGGAGCAATTATGAATTAGTATGAAGCAACGTATGATAGTTAAGAAAAAGCGTCCGTGTAAGGAATACCAGGAAATGGCAGTTAAACTTAATTGCGCAATATCATTCTCCCAGTTCATCAGATTATTAATAAAAATGCGTGCTAATTAATAAAAATTAATACATTTCTTGAAAAATAGAAAGGTAATGTGAACCTACTTGTACCGAGAAATAATTTTTAAATTACATTGTCGTTTCATATTTATAAGTATGAAGCAATTATGAATTAGTATGAAGCAACGTATGATAGTTAAGAAAAAGCGTCCGTGTAAGGAATACCAGGAAATGGCAATTAAACTTAATTGCGCAATGTCATTCTCCCAGTTCATCAGATTATTAATAAAAATGAGTGCTAATTAATAAAAATTAATACATTTCTTGAAAAATAGAAAGGTAATGTGAACCTACTTGTACCAAGAAATAATTTTTAAATTACATAGTTATTTCATATTTATAAGTATGAAGCAATAATTAATTAGTATGGAGCAACGTATGATAGTTAAGAAAAAGCGTCCGTGTAAGGAATACCAGGAAATGGCAATTACACTTAATTGCGCAATGTCATTCTCCCAGTTCATCAGATTATTAATAAAAATGCGTGCTAATTAATAAAAATTAACACCTTTCTTGAAAAATAGAAAGGTAATGTGAACCTACTTGTACCGAGAAATAAGTTTTAAATTACATAGTCGTTTCATATTTATAAGTATGAGGCAATAAGCACCATGTTAATCGTTTGATACTTTGCCGGTCGAATTCAGGCAATGTATGCAATGCCATATTTCTGACTTAATATGTAACATATTTATTAAAGGTTACCATTAAAAGATATCCTGAGATGTTATTATTTTATTAGTTTTTTTAAGAAAAATATAGAGAAAGAAGAAGGTCTTACCTGCAGTCGTAGCTATATATTCCGTGCTCAAGAGGAAGACAAAAAAGAACGCCCATTGCTTTATGTGCATTTTAAAGTTGTTTAAGCTATGTATGGAGAGAAAAAAAAATTAAAGAAGTTTAAGAATAACATTTATTTTAATTGTGTCATAAATGTAGTAGGAATAAATGATACAATACCTCTAATAATAAATTTCAATCGTATAATAAAATGAAATAGTAAAACCAATTTTAATCATAAGATGAAATATGTATTCCTATTCAAACTATAGAAGTTGAAGCCTTTTTTTTATTTTTTTATTTTTTATGAAGATGTGATGAAGTCTGACACAACAGGAGATACATTTATGACACAACATGACATTACATGCAATTGCAGCTAATTATTGTTTTTAATTATGTTGATATAAATTTTGATAATAAATATGATAACCGGATTTATGTTAACGCACCAAGTGCGTTTATGCCCAACTATGGAGCATATTACAGGGATAACAGGGATACTTTGTTACAAGGAGACTGTACTTATTTTAAGTAGTTCTGATGCGCCAAATGTCGTCTAGGAATTTTGAATTGAACATTTTGTTGAGAAATACCGATGGAAATTTTTATGCACGGTTATTCTTTTCGTAATTTATTCACCATGCGTTTTTTTTTTTTTTTTTTCGAATTTTGCTTTTTTTTCTCCAACGGCATTTTACTTTAATTTAACATAAATAACCGAATTATTAAATAAGCAATGTATTATTGGCTGGATATAAGTATGATTTCAGATTTTAAAAATCATTACTGATTAAAAGAAATCCTGACTCTCGTGATCTTTATACGGAACTTCAGGACTATACCTTTTTATTGGGACTGCTACTGTACAATTATTAATTATTTTAAATTTATTTCAGCTAAAACTCGTCATTTTAGACTTGTCAAATGATAAAATTTAAGTCATTAAAACACTTTATTTTAAATACGGCATAAACGGAAAATAATTTCAAGTTATTTTTAACGGTTCAATAATGAATACTTTTTCTAAGTTAAAATACAAACTTACTTCGAGGAGGAAATGCAGCGTACTGATGTGAGTGCCTCATGAAATGAATTCGATTTTCGATCTCACCAATATTTGCTGATTTAAGCTGAGAGTTTTATGTTTCACTTATTTAACAATCGGTAAAAAGTTTTTTTTTTTCATTGTCCGGTCTGAAATAAAAGAACGTGCATTCTAATGGATCAAAATGGAATTTATTTGGAATGCATACCATTCGCGAAAACAAAAAGCGACTAGACTAATTGCATTTATTTATCAATTTGTGTAATGTCACCAAGTTTTTTTATTTATGTAATAAATTCAATTAAATAATGCTAACAATTATAAAGCATAGTTCCTAATGTAATTATTAGCACTTAATAGGGTAAACTGACCAGTGAAGGAACACTTAAGCTTCGCTTGCCTTTTAAAAAATCATATTAATTTCAAAATTCGTAATTTTAGTTAAATGACAGTGTCAGCATTTGTTACTAATTGCAAATTATGTAAAAAAATTGTAGAGAACTTACATAATATTGTTTTAAATTTTTGGAGGTTCAAATAACAAGTGGTAAGAAGACCAAATGAAGGAACAGCTCTTACCAGTGAATGAACACCCAGTAAAGGAACACTTAATTTTGGTTATTTTTTAATGCTCTTTATGAATTTATAAGCCATACAAACATTTAAAAACAAGCCTGTTCTTGAAATTATAACATATAAATACTTGGAAAATGTTAACTTTTTTTTGTAATCATGAATTGAAAATTAAAGTGTCAGCATATTAACACATACTGTTCATTCATTGGGAAATCTATGCACAGTAAAGGAACATGCCTGTTTCCTCACTGGTTAGAAGTTGTTTTTCGTATTTTTAACATACTTTTGATGCGAAACATCACTAAAGGTACAAGAAAATTAAAGTGCTTCTTTTATTTTCATTGACTTAGAAAAAAATCCAGTAAAGGAACGCTTGTTCATTCACTGGTTATTCATCGTTTGGTGATCCAGTGAATAAACACCCCCTTATCTCAGTACTTTTTTATGCTATGATGCTTAAAAAAATAAAACGTAACCTCAATAACTATATTTTGAATTCTCTTTTTCACAGTGAGAAAAATAAAAGTATTGCATGCAATTAATTCCACTTCAAACATATAAATACTAACGCTCACCTTATAATTTTTTTTAAAGAAACAAGGTGTTGCAGAGATAATAACAAATTCAAAAATTTTTCCAGAGAAGTCTATTTGACCAGGTAATCCAAAATATTGCTAGATGACTTCTTATTGTTTGGCAGTAAGCTATTGTTACCAGTCAATCTAAAGAAAAACTTTCAAATTCTTATTTTTAATAAATATATGAAGTGTTTCTTCACTGGGTAATGTTCCTTCACAGGTTGGTTTACCCTAATTGCATTTATCGGTAAATAATAATAAACTATTCCTGGAATTTAATACGTATTAATTTATATCATTTTGCTTTCGATATGCATGTCATGATGTATTAAGAATGTAGGTAAGAATTAAAATTGTTTCATAGGTTTCCGTTCAGTTTAAGATTTTTTTGAATCAGTAGATCATCTCCTAATGTACATTTTTTGTAGTTTATGCAAAGTGAAATAGACTAACAAGATGAGAAAAAGTTTTTAGATTCGACGAATTTTTCCCCGTAAGTATGATTATATTCAGGTTCCAAGCTTCGCATTTCAGAAAACTGAAGAAAGGAAATAATTTCATTAAAAAAAATGCAATAATAAAATAATTCAATATTGTTAAGAAGTGAAGAAAAAAAACTTCTTTTTGTATTTAAAAAAATTCAAGACAATAATCATTCATTTGTTTAAAATTATCCGAATTGAAATCCGAGTTAGTTAATTTAATTTAAGTATTGAATAGGATTTTTGAGGCTAGAATAGAATTTCTAATTAAAATTTTTAGAGTATTGGAGGCAAATATTTATATATAGAAAAACTTTAAGACAAATCAGCCAGATAGAGGGAATCTTTTTTTTTGCTCTATTGTGTTAGCGCTAAAATGAAACGAAATGAGCATTCGCGAATGAAACATTTAGTTTCGAACGTTTGGTTCCTTTTTTTTTATTTTTTCACTTTCTCAAAAGTTTCTATTTCGGAAAAGTTATTCAAAAAATTTATGTGCTTTTTTGTGTTTCAATTTTATTTTTTTATCGCTATTATTTGCCTAAGCACTCTGCCAAATTAAAATTATTGTTTCTATGATTAATCGTTGATAAATAGAAGATAAAATTTTATAAAATTGTTTAAGGTAGTTCTATGTACAAATTTTATTACTAAATAACTCACCTCCAAAGTTTCTATACACTGTAAATTGAATTTTAAGAACGACAGATAAAATTGAAATAAATTTGCAAATAAAAATAGCTCAAATTATTCTTTAATAAATGATGAGAAAAATTATAGAGGGGCCATTAAAAATAAAATAAGAGAATCTAACTAAAATAAAACTTTGGTAGCTTCAGATGGTTTGATAGTGTTATTAAATTATTGTTGTTAAAAAATTATCGTTGATTGTTTTGGATTTTATCCTAATTGCGGTAACTTGCTTTCCGCTGTGGAAAAAAATAAATAAGTAAAAAAATAAAACACGTTACAACTTACCGATTTATTTAAAATCGTGACCCCCCTGACAAAAAAATTCTGTAATGGAAAGAAAAAAAAGTAAGGAAAATGTAATTGTTAGCGTATATATTAGCAAAATAAGTTATTTATACTAAATATTATTGGTTAAGTTATCGGTACATAAGAATTCACAACATCAGCATGAACTTAGAGTTATAAGAAATTCTAATGGATCGGTTGAATCATTAAAAAATTTTCCGACAAAAATAATATTAACTATTTCTATCTTGAACAAAAGTTTTATCATCTTTTAAAATTAGAGTTAATAAGTTCAAGCTTTTCACTTTTGCCAGATAATTCAACTAATAAAAAAATTAACTGTTTTAAAAAAATGCATAAATTTAGAAATTAAGCCATCTGAAAATCAATGAACATTCATAATAAATAATGAAAATAATGCAGCAGACTGCCGTAGGCTTTGTAGAAAGGGGGGTTCTTACTATAGGCAAACTATACTTGGGTCTCAGCATTAATGTTAAATTAAACCGGAACTACAGAATTAAAATAGTTAAAAACAATACTTATGCAGCTTACGGCTGTCTCTGACCAAATCTACTCTACCCTTAAATCTAAAGAAAACTGTTTATATACCGTGCATTAGATCCATACTTACATATGATTACCCAGCCAGGGAATGCATAAATCAGATACAAATCAAGAAACTAGAAACTGTTCTTCGAAGAATCCCTGGAGCACCATATCACCTGCATAATAGAACCATCAGAAATTATCTATCTGACAGAAATTATCTATCTATCATCAGAAATTATCTGTAAGAAATTAAATTATCTATCTGACACAGTAAGTAACTTCATAAATAAATTACGTGCTCCCTTTTACAGCAGTGTTGCCAGATTAGGGGTTTCCCCCCTAAATTTAGGGGGATTTTTTATCCTTAGTGGGTATTTTAGGGGAATTTGTTTTTAGGGGTTTGTTTTAGGGTTATTTGTGAATTTTAGTTTCATTTTGGTTACGTTCTAATATCAAATTTTATAACTGAATGTGTAGGATGGTAATATGAAAATCAATATATATAAACCAAAACACAAAGATTAAGGACGACACAAAGGTTTTTATTTGGAACTTAACCCCTTTGTTGAATGTAGTAAGTTATTACTTAGCTCGATCAAACTGTACGCTTGGTGAATTTGAATTCAAATTATTTAAAATTTTTAATGTGTATGGTTTAAAAATAATGCCAATGGATAAAGAAAAAAAGAAGTACGTACAAAAGTACAAGAAAGATTGGGAACACGAAAAGCAGTTTAAAGGTAAATTAATAGTACAATTGTTCATCCTTTTTTTTAATTATCAGCACATTATTAATTTGTCGATAATAAAATATTAAAAAGTATTGAAGCAACGTTTTTTTTACATTATTTAACTTTTGTACTTTTTTTAATACTTATTCATTAAGTTAAAAATTTTGGCGTTTTTTAAAAATTTTTAGGGGATTTTACAGCGCTATCTGGGGGTGAACGGTTATCGGCAACACTGTTTTACAGTGACTCAAAAGAACCTAGACCAGCCGGTTTAAATAATATTCTAAATAGAGAACTAATCATAGACATGAAGGACTATCATCCGTTTATCATAATGCGTCTAATAAATTGATTTTTTAAGTTTAGTCGCATTAATTTTGGAAAGAAGCTTTTAACTTGGATCGATGCAAATTTTGTATGGGTAAAAATTACAAAATTTCTAAAAGCTTTAAGTTGTGTCAGCAGTTCTTCCTTGTAAAATCTTTCTAAACATTTGTTGCTAAAAGAACATTTGTTTACCTAAGAGTTAGTGAAGAACTGCTTTAGGTATATGCCAAGGATTGTTTACGCATAACAGTAACGCCTACAATGTTTTTGAAAAGTAGGCGGTTCCAAATAGATGTTTACATTGGATTTCACAAAAAGTCACGATGAATGTATTTAAATCGATATCATACTGTGAGATTTTATAAAAGTAAAATAAAATAGAATAAGAAAAGTTCGGAAATTAAATATAAAACATTAAATGTCCATACATTGATTATTTAAGAATTCGGAAATCGGGTATACTAGCGAAAGTAACGCCTACTTTCTACTCGAAGCCTTACTGGGAATTAAGAGCATAGATTTGATAATGATAGTCCTGTGTAAAAGGGATAATATTCCACGTATAATGACAATAAATCCATTCTCTTTATCTGTTATCTAACACCCTGTTACAAATAAATATGGTATTATTTCGTGAAGTTCAAGACAAAACTGGCTTGAGTCTAGAAAATGAAATAATCAGCTGTTTTGAAAAATATGAAATCAATAATCACAAGCTTGCGTTTCAATGATATGATTGTGCACATAGTATCAGTATATAGTATTACGCTATAGTATCAGGTGAATTCAACAGCACTCAACGCAATGTTTCTTCAGAAATTCTAGGTCGATAAATGCCATCTATCTCATGTCAAGCCCAGCGTATTTATACAGTTCTTAATCATAGCTCAATGTGAGTTTTCTAAAATCGGGTATTTTTTCAATCATGCAA